GATCAGACTGAGGGCTTAAGCAGAAGACAAAAATCGAACAGCAAACAACATCACACACCAAAGCAACCATCATATATACACACACAGCTCTTATGTTACAGCACATCTCACAAGCATGACACCAGAACTGAAAAAATGACTACTCTTTGCAACCAGTGTGAAAAAAAACGTGTCTCCTAAAACTACAGTAGCCAACACCCAGAAAAAAAGACAACTGTAGACTTGTTTATCTCGTGTTAATCAGTGACAGGATTAATGATATCAGCTGTGATGTGGGCGATATCTATAACAATGAAATATTAAAGAAGAAAACATAATACTTTCTGCAACTGTTAAAGCCTATAAATAAGAGAAAAACACCTAAAATAAGAAGCAAAGGCTGTACACAAGAATCAAACATGAGTATAAATGTACTGGATGGATAGCCTATACAATTTTACAAACCACGCAGGCCCTAAGTACATTCATTGTTATTATTTAGAGCTAGGAAAATAGGTTTGACTCTACAAGAGGTTCCTTTATGTGAGCAATAATTTCTCTACAAGAGACGGATGATAGGCAGAGAGGAGAGACATTACTATACAGAGGGTAATGGTTTGGAATAAACTAAAGGTTGTTGCTTTTTTTTTTTTTTGGAATCAGGTTTTTTTTTTTTTTTTTATTTATTCATTTATTCCAAGACCATTCAAAAGCCAGTAAGTAAACAGGCTGATCATTACACTTGAAGGAATTTCATCCCAGCCTCTTTTAACCCTAAATTTAAAAACATACCTATAATAGAAGAAAACCTGCTATCATAAAAATAAAATTAAAATAGCTTATGATATGCCATTTAATTTACAAATCAGCCATTTCTAGAACCTGCTTTGTCCTGTCCACTCTACAAAAGATAATGGAAAAACAGCCAAACTGAGGTGAATGTGTGCATCTAATTTACACATCTAAGAAAGAGGATAAGGGTAATATTATTACGGTTCCCACTGCAGGTGTTTTTAACACCCTACTAAGCACCTTGAGCACTATTTTACTTAGAAAGCAGTGCCACATTCATCCAGGCTGGTGTATTCATTTGTTTCATACACATTCTTGTTTTAGCTCATTATAATAAAGCAGATTTATGTAAAGAGGAAAAGCCCCTTCAGAATTTTGATATGTATTGTCTATAGTGTGGTGGTGTCACAACGAGGCCGTATTTCAGTATGACTTTCTATGCACGCTGCAGTCTTGAACGGGGACTGTGATCATGTAAAAACCTTCCAGCACTTGTCCTCACACAACACTTTGGCATCACGTCTCCAACAAGCAGTGCGATAAACAGAAACCTTATTATCCACAGCTAATCGGCTCTTTTCAACTCTAGTTGGTCGGTTTTGTATAAAGCACCTTTCTCCCACATCACTATGCAAAGGCAACCCACTCATGCAACTACAAGTTTCACTCTTTCATTAACATTTAAAGGCATCGGGATATTTTTTTTTGAGACGACATGCTGAATGCTGGTTGGCTAGGCGAGTGTACACATTGAGGCTCTCAGGCCTTTTGGCTGTGCATGTTATTTTGAAAAGCCACCAATGCCAACTCCTCCTGGCTAAACAAAAGGAGAAGAAAAAAAAAAAAAAAAAGAGGCTGCCATTCTGCCACCCGATAAATACTCTCAATGCTGCAACAGCTACAGAGTCCATTCTTGTTTAGTGCAAAAACAACATCATCAAATGTTTGAGTTTTATCGTCCCAGGAAAAGCAATGCCATTCTGATCTGGTATTTTAAGGTGCTGGTATAGGTAATGTAAAACACAAAGAAGCAGTGACAAGTACAAACACGTCTCCTAAAACGACACCTTGATGTTTGGAATTTTAGCCAGTTGTTTTTTACGACACCTGTTAAATTGCGGTCAAAAGGTTTCCATTTTTTGTCACTCAGTTAAACTTTCCCACTTCGAATATAATATGGTAGGCATCTTCTGGAGAATGACCACCAACTAAAACACTAAATACCCAGGCATCCCTTTGAGAGACAGTCTGAAGACTGGACATTCGAAGAAGTGAATAATGTGGATGCTTGTGGCAGCATCACGAAGGCCTGCATACGCACAGAGACGAGGACATTCACATTTCCTAGTACAGAGCCAGCAACAGGTTTCACCTGACATGTAAGAGTAATTCGTTCCGATCCAGTCAAACTTGTACTTAAACTAAAGATTATATACATAAATTATAATGTTCTGTGGTGAAATTTACCTGATCAGATTTACCTTGTTGTGTCATATGCTTTACAAACATCTGTTTAAATGGATTTCAACACTGATTTTTCAGGCTGATCCTTAGATGGGTTGTTTTCTAGTTTCTTTTTAGCTTACAAGCAACTTGAATTAACAGTCTGACTAACAGCACCACTAGGGTACATTTACAATTTGTCCAGATCAACAATATGCCTGATCTGGGCTGCATTTGCCGTTACATTGCCCAGGTGGGGGGTAAAAAAAAAAAAAGGGATCAAGGTGTCGAGATAAAGTCTGTCATTTCATTGGTGCATAGAATTAAAGGAAAGAAAGCAGGGAAAGCTGTGTGTGGATACAAACACACTTCAAGAATTTGGTCGTACAGCTCAACGCTCAAAACCCCTATAAGGAAAAAAACAAACACATTCTCTCTTATCAGTCTGAGTAAAACAATGAAAAAAAAAAATCACACAACTACATAAACTAAGAAAAGCGCGTTCACCATCATGCACACCAAGCGTTTAAAACCTCTATTGTCAATGCAAGACTCAAACAATGCCAATTAGATAGCAGGGGTAATTATACAGAAATGGCCAGCAGTGTGATGTTACCATAACACTTAAACAGGTAACAAGAGGTAGAACACACGGCCATTTCCATACAATTACACCAGTGTCACACAATATGGCCGAGCCTCCTGCTTCGATTGAGGAACACACATCTATAGAAGTCATACCAACGTTCTGCTATCAAAAGTGCATCCAAATTTACATGTTGTGAGACCAGCACCGATAAGAACAATATTGACATCATAACAGTAAATATCAAGTACATGATTTTCAGAATGCCCCACAAACACAGTCAGTCGGATTTCTAGTTGCTTTTACAGGTAACGAGTTGAAGGGGTAACACAGAGAGGTCGTCAGAGGGAGAGAAAAGATCCTCAAAATGATGAAGCATCTTTTATCATACAAGTAAAAAGCTTTGTGGACCAATCCAGTGAGGATTTAGGTGGTTTACAGTGACAACATCTAGCACCTAGAATCAAGATGTTGATGTTTGTGCTTCCATCTCTTTTGATTAATAATCATGTAAAAGTTTGTAATCTTGTTTGGCTAAGAAAGATTGTGTGTTACAAAGGATACACCCAATTTTCAGGCTATAAAATCTACAATGTTACAAATGACCACATAAATACTTCATCCCGTTAGAAAGGCATGAAGATGCTGATAAGCACTAAGAAACGCTACTAAATGCAACATGCTAAAAAACAACAATAACAAAAAAAGCCCTGATTATCTACCTCTATAAATGACCCAAATTCATGTGAGATACCCCACTGTTAAATCTCTTGGCTAAAAATGATGCATAGTTAGAAAATATAGACTACTCGCCTCCAATCAAGACTATGAACATTCGCCAGCTTAACTTAGCAGTAAAACTTAGGAGGGATGTTAGGAAATGTCTAGAATTATTAGTAAGACTATTACAGTCTTAGAAGGCAAGAGAATATTTGCATTTAAAATCTGTATACAAATAGACAGTGTTAATTTAGACTACATTTGGGCCGGTCATTTAAAAAAATTCTTTATAATATTTTCAGCAGCCTCCACTGAAAGCTTATTCAAAATATACCTTATTACCAACATTACTATATATAGTATAAAGACTCACAAAAAGTCATTTGCATAAAACCCAAGCTTTTGTGCGACGACTGCTCCCAGTTCCTGGAGCAAACACTATAATTCAAGAGGTTTTTGTTTAAGGGAATTTCAATCAGTTCAACTCTAAAATGTTGCAGCTTTCACTCCACTGTACCGAATGCCTGAATATCGAGACGCCACACAAATATCGCTGTGACAAAGACACTGCAGAAAACACTATTCTGCTGCTATATACATTAAAAAATAGAAGTAGGATTAATGTGTATAGAGGGAGAAATGAACAATTATCACAAATGCCTAAATGTCTAAAACATGAGTCAGCTACATGCATATTCATTACAAAAAAAAAAAAAAAAATGATTGAAATTAAAATAGACTATAAAAACAGAAGGGAACCAAAGTGATTTCATCAAGTTCCCTTCTATGTTGATTTCTACATCATGTGTCTTTTATCAACACGGCTCAGAGTACATTAGAAAGGAGTCCTTGTTGGGAACCAGTCCCAATATGCTATTTCTCTGCATGGGAATTAGGTTACTGGTGCAACTTTGTCAGTTCAGACTAAAAAGTGAGGCAGAGGAGGATAAAATTGCTGTTTTTAAATTGGAACACTAAAAAGCCCTCATCTGTTGGTTCAAGGGTTGATAACAAATCTGACGCAAAGAATCCTTTAGTAAGTTGTCACCAGATTTGGCATAAAATGGTCACCAATGTAAATCGAGGACAAATACTGAAAACCCAGCCAATGTGGGCCAAATAGTTCATAGTTTTACATAGAAATGACGACAGAAAGGTGGTCTCGAATGGCACTTATCACATAGTGCCCTATGTGAAAATCACACACAACCCCCAATATATTAAGTACTTTTGTCCTTGTTAAAGTACCCATTCTGGTCAGTGCACTTGCTTTGATTGGCTGATAAATAATGTTTGTCAGAGGAGCAAATCATCAGGCATATAAACAGTGAACGGGCCCCCTTGTATTTTTGATGTCTCCTTCTCCCTTCAAGCACCAAGACCATAACAAATAATAAAAACAGGAGAAGGAGGGTGAACAGCTTCTTCTAAATTATAACCCCCCCCCCCCCCCCATGTAAAATGTTACTGTCCACTAGTTTAGAAATGGTAGATTTCATCTATCAGTGTACAAACTTTTCCTTTTCCTCTCATACTTTGCAACATGTTTCCCTACAACAAATACAAATACACACAAATACACAACATGTAAATAAAACCTCTTCTAACTCAATCCCCATGAATGAGGGATTCTTTTGCATCTTAGTCTAATAGCTGGCTTGGTTTGGGGTGGGTTAGGGGCTGAAGTACAATTGTAGACATATGGGTAACTGACAGGTTTGTTAAGTAGGGAGATCACGATGTGAAACCACTGTGATGCTATCTACCGCTGACAGCGAGACAGCGGGGGGGTAGTGTGTTCCATCAGTGCGGTCTCACCCACGCCAACCTGGGGTTGTGTGCTCTCAGGCAAAGTACATGGTACGCAGCGTGTCCTGGTGGATCTGAACAGCCTTGGCCAAGGCCTGGTGGTCACGCCCGTTGCTCTGGCCTGATGTATGACTTCCTTCAGCACTGAAATTACACATTAAAAAAAAAAAAAAAAATGACTTTCACATTAAAAACATTTCAGGGGTTTTTTACCAGAATACATGTAGACGCAAGGTGGCAAACACAGCAAACGGCTTTGAGTGCTTACCTGTCATGCTCTTTGTCCACCAAGTGATAGCGAGCCCGGAAAGCCACCAAATGAGCGTAGTAGGCTGGTGCAGGGATGGAAACTGACCGGGTGCAGCGCACATAGGTGTGGCAAAGCTGGTAGGTGAGAACCTGCAGTTCATCTGAAGAGAAGTGGTTGTCGTCCCAGAGCACATGGTAGTGAGATGGCCTGCTGGTGCCCTGCAAGGAGACATAACGAATGTATTGCTTGTGTTCTCACTATATCTGCAAAATACTTGCAGACATGTGGCCTGTTTAACTTCTTGGTTCAATTACAGTTAATCCTAATCCAACTTTTTACCTGAATTCCAGCGTGACTGCAAAGGTAGAAGTCAAACTCTGATGGGTGAGTGATTTTGGTGTCCACTGTGGTGCCTGCAGGGATGTTGCCGCTCTTCCCAACCTAAAGAAATCCCCACAAAAATAAATGAATAATACATTAACACCTGTAGCAGCTGGCTTGGTATCATCTGTATAGCTCTGGTGCATGCCAAACATTCCTTGAACTGGGTGTTTTAGTTCAGTACCAAGAAAATTACATCAATCTGGCATGAACTCTCTCTCATTTTAAGAGTTAAGTTGGTTATAAAACAAACAAAATTCTAATTCATATCAATGATGAATGCAATACTGACCCTCTCATTTCTGTCCATACAGAACAGTCTTGTGTGGTGTCTCTTTTGCACGACAACGAAGGTGATACCAGGCTGGTAGTCCTTCTCTAGTTTGATGCAGGCCTCACGGATTGCCAGCAGTTCATGCTGAAGAACCTGCATGTATTCAAGTCAAAAATTATTTTACTTTTTTAAAATTATAAATCAAGATTAACAGGTGAAAGGATGCAGAGATGACAAGCATGTACAATTACAAGGACAAAGAAAGCTTCAATAACCCTTACCTCTGCTGGTCCCATCATTTTTTCAAATTAGAATACAGCCTTAAGATAATTTGTCAACATTTTTAGAAGCTTTATATTCTGCACCAGCTGTGATATATGCATCACCTGGTTGAACTGGCCCTCAGAGATGCCATCGCGGTAGTAGATGATCCTTGTGGGCTTGAAGCGGGTGGACTTGTAGAACTGGATGAGAAGCTCCCTCACCATGGTGGCCAAGTCCTGGATGATGTCCTGACGGTGCTGCTGGACCCGGACTGTGGCACAGTATCTGCTGGGATGGGCATCCATACTACCAACAACCTGCAGAGGAGAAGCAAATATCATTTAGTGATAGCTGGAAGGAATGACTCTGGGACTTTATGCAGGTCCTGTGCTTATGAGGTTATATGGCTAATGTGTTAGCAAAAGTTGCCTACTCTCAAATCCAGCAGACTGAGTGGAAACAAATTGACTTTAATTCGACAACAGTGCTTCTGGCCACCTGTCAAATGTCTATTAGTTCAACTTTCAGTATCCTTGTAGCTCTCTGTTGGTCTCCATCAACAGTTAGGACCTCTGCCTGTGTATCTTTGTGCTGGGTAAGTAGCATTGTGTGGATTTTTACTGGAAACTGCTGCCTACAGGGACTGATGGGAGCAGCTGAGACTCAACCACACAGTAAATGTGCAGGCCATTTGACAAACTCAAAGAGCTGCAAGAAGCTGAAGAGTTGCAGAGAGATGTGTAGTCACTCTCCATGATTTTAGGACCATGAGTGACCGCTAACATTAAACCTCATTAAATTATTTTGTTCATGTTGTGTTGTGTGTTGTGATGCTACTTACAGCAGCGATGGAAGGCTTTTTTCCATCTCCTGCAGGCGGATGAGTCACATCTGCACCGAGGAAGATCACTGGCTGCTGGAACACCATCGGCCTGGAACAAATGCACAGACACGGATGACATAAAAAACATATTCTACAGTTTTCAAATGTTCTGCTTAGGGGACATGTACTGTGGGCTTTGGCTTCATCTTTTTACTGTCAGGATTTCAACTAGGGGGTAGTAGTTTCTCCACTAACCTGCCCTGTGGGAGGAGGATGTTATTGACACCGCCCAGCTTCACATTGATCTTCAGACAGAGGTTGGAAAGAGTCTGAGGTGTTGTCTTTTGAACGTTCTTCACCTGTACACACTGTGTGGCCATGCCGAGCACTGTGTCCCCGACACGTTTCACCTCAGCTGCACACATCAGGACAATAAGAACATATCATTTAATGAAACACAGGTACACTGAACAATCACAGCAATTAAGGACTAGAAGGATCTATCGGTGGCAACCTGAAGATGGGTTAATATGGCTGTGTATGTATGGCACAGGATTACAGATGTTTAATTGACAGAGTGAGTTGGGAAGACAATGGGAGAGTAGATTTATCTGGTCCTTATTTCCTTGTGGTTATTTCCTAAAATAGAAGCAGTCACTGAAGCAGCAGCCATGTTCATATTCCGCAAACCAACTGCGAGAGTTTGTGATGTCAATTAGCATGACACTTCTGTTTAAACTGCTTTTTTTAGTTTGTTAAACAAAATGTATGAGAAGACCCCTCACCGTAGACAGGCGTCTTCCCCGGTAGGATGACCACCACCAACTGGAGGCCCTGGTAGGTGTACTTGAGGTGCCTAAACATGGGCTCCACGCTGTCTGCTCCCTGGGCGTACTTACAGAAGCAAGGCTGACCTTGGATGGGCATTCCTGCATCTCTAGAGATCTTCCTCAGCTGATCTGTGAATGCTCTGAGACACATAAGGAACTTCGTTATTCCCAGTTTCATAGATGTTTGGCAGTTCGATTTACATGAGACTCATGTTACAACTGATAATTGAGATCTGAATGAAAAGAAATTAAGGTAAAGGACCCAAATTAAAGAAAAATTAAAAGGAGGTCAAGAACTCAAACAAGTAAAGCAGACACCCAATCCAATACTGTGCCTGCACTACCTTAGGTACCATGTCTCAAGGATTCAATTCTACCAATTAAATGCATCTTTATCTAAATAATTATTTAGAAAATGTTATGAAGAACATAATATTTGGTCTGAGTTGCAGTAAATCTGAAGAGAAAATATAAGACATAGACAAACCAGAGCCCGCCAGTTTTTCTTTGCACTGTACTTGTTAAAGGCAATATGACAAAGCTTATAACAACATACAGTAAAGTACATAAATGCAAATTACAAAGCCTGGCTTATGCATTGCAAGTGCATGGCACAGCTGTACACACTTAACATGCGCTCTTACACCCTTGTACAGCGAAAGACAGAAGACACAAATCAAATAAGACAGCTTCATACTGTTGCTGCGCTGCTGGCTGCAACATCTGAAACTCAAGCTAATACGTGCATTCAGTTAGTAATTTACAAAATCCAATAAGCTCAATGTATCCTTGTGTTTGTGGACTTCTAAAAAAGGTATGCTTCAGGCCCTACACTATGCTCACAACTGTTCTCCACCAGCCCTTAATTATACACTGACTGCCATCAAACCCAACAATATGCTGGAACAGATGCACTCTATATATGTATCTCACTTACTTGAGCAGGAGTTCAGTGCACTGTCTCTGTGGTGCAAAGCAGGCGATGGCCCACACTTTGATCTCAATGCCGGTGTGGAACTGCTTGTTCCTCATGTCCCATACTCCCTGGATAGGTGTGGCTATTGCTTTGTTCTGAAAATTGGAATGACAGCAGCCTTATTAGTGTTAATCAGTGTACAAAAGAGTTATGCAACCGTGTTGCAGTTACATGCATGAAAAGTATATTGACTCCAAGACACCATCAACACATCGGAACCGGTGATCAACATACCCGGCCTCCATACAGAATGGAAGGTGCCTGTAGGACGCGGCCGTTCACTTCCGTCATCTCATCTCTCACCATCACTCCAAATTCACGAACATAAGGGTCAGTGTTGAAGTTGGCACTTCTCATCTGAGAAAGAAAAAAAAAAAACCCCGTGAATTTTGTGTTTCTCAACCTGTCATGTAATCAAAATGCCTGCAAACTGTACAAATATTTCACTTGAGATTTTTTCTCTTGTACATATTTGTACAATTAAATGTTTATAGTTTCTAGAAAAAAATCATTAACTTAAAAACCACCAAGGAATATCACAAATCCTTATTTCAAATTCGTCCTACTTTCTCAGCGTCTTGCAGTGGCAGCGTGTGTGAATCTACATATAGTATATACAGTTCAGCATGATGGACAACTATGGTAGGACTGGAAGGTAGCAGCTCATTTTGACCAGCATCATGAACCCTCTACTCAAGTACCCGATCAGCAAACACCACTGAGCCTGTGCTAAGTGTCAAACTGAAGAACTTGGTAGCACAGGCAGAAACTTTCTTCCAATTTAATTTTTCTTGAATCTCAAGTCCTAAATGATATTGGACCACTGTGTATGCAACAGTTTCAGGAAAGTCAACAAGACTACCAGCAACTGGTTGGTAAGAGTATTTGTTGGCAGTAGCAGCTGTCACGTGTGCATCTTACAGAGTTCTCCAGTGTGGGGAATCATGTGCCAGGGGCCGGCTACAACCATCGATGTGACAAGCTTTTGTTGTTTGGTTTTTTGGTTGGAGTTTCCAGCTCTGGCCTGAACGGGGCAGTGAGCTCTCGACTTCACCGTTATGACACGGTTTGCTACTGGCCCCAGACCATCGGACAAATATTACTGATGAATCCTGGCATGTAGCAGCACAATGTAAATACCTTTGGTGTTTACTGTCTCACATTGTTGCAGAAACAGAGTCAAACTTGTGGAAGTCTTCACAACTAAGGGCCTTTAAAGATTGAGATCCTGATAGTTTTCAGACACACTAACATTTGTGCACCATTCAGTAAACTTTTATCTCACAATGACTCACCAATTTGCTAATCTCGTCCTGACGGTCTGGTGCTGATCGGGCTGTGGCACGGATCATAGTGGATGTTTGATTGTCTGTCAGCTTTTTGATGCAGCGCTGTCCTGCCACTATGTTACACACCTGGAGTGGACACACAAAACAAAACATGTTTTGAAGAAAACCAACTGGGTCACTAGGTAATTGGTAACTGGTAAGGACAAGACGTTGGTGATTATTACCTCCAGAGGTAGGTAGGTGTGCTTCTGCTCCTGTCCCACCTGTAGACATGGGAGGTGGGGGTATCTCAGGATGAGCTTGTACTTGTCTTTGAAGTACTGTGCTACTGTGCATTCAATAGTTTGGCCGTTCTCCTGCTGCAGGGGGAACCTGAGGGAATCAATAAATGCAACCTTCAGTATGCCTGTTAAACATTTTCAGAGAGAATTTTCACACCAGCTTGTCCCAATTTTTAGTGTCACCAAACATCATCAAGTCCAGTCATCTGGAGCAAAAAGTATTTTTTTTAAAACATTAGATAGTACATCTATGATTATTGAAGGATTATCATCCCTTCCTACCCCTGTATTTATTACAATATATGTATTTTACATTTTAAGTAACAACACCTTTCTTGTTGCTGGAGCACAAATATTTTTTCATCCATTTTAAACTGTACGTTTTAGCTTGGTACTTCAACATCAGTAAACCCCACATTCAAATACTGTGACTACAGTAGTGACAGGAGAGCACTCTTACGTTTGGTGGCTGGCGGGTCTTCGGGTCACATTGCACACTCTGTACTTCCTCTTCATCTGCCCGCAGTGAGTGATCTCCACCTTCAGACCTGAACAGAGGAATCACAAAGATTTCAAAAATATCCAGAAACTAAAGGAAAATAAAGCCCAAATTTTGGATGGCTATGTGTTTAAATACTTGGTTTATAACTCCTGATTTGATAAAAAATAAAAACAGAAAGGAAAGGAATAATAAATCTGTAGTTCAAGTGTAAAACTCAATAGACTTCAGAAACTTTAAACTGACCAGTTGAATTGAGAATCAAATTTAAAATCGAAAGATAATTCCCAGCTCTTTTTAACGAATACAATTTACCAAGAAAAACACAACAAATAAAAACAGTCTGAAAATGTATATGTGGCTCCTGAGCTTTACTTACCTTTGATTTCCTTTGTAAATTTCACTCGTTGAGAGTCTGTTAAGGGCTTCTGTTGTTCTTCAATGCTTTTGAAATCAAGGACCTCGCACATGAACTCAATTACAGGCTGGGCTTTGTAGAATGCAGTGGCTGAAACTGCAAACAGAAAAGCCATACGGTGATGAGATTCATAGACACAACTTCATTTCAACAACCTTTCTCCAAAGCAACATGACAATTACCATCAATGTTGAGCATCATTTTCCAGAGGGAAGGCCTGACAGACTGGTGAAAGCCAAACCACACCTCTCTGCCACCACCGAGGGGGTTCGAACATCCCTCTGAGGGAGTGAAGAACGAGCGGCCCACCGGGGTATATCTTTAACAGAATACATGAAACCTGATTAACATGTTCAGAGAAACACAAGCTGTTCAACGAACCGGTTAAAAGAAAAGACACTTACAAAGCATACGATCTGTGATACACGGCACATCACATGCTATGCGAACAAACAATCTCTTCCTATAGTTAGGTAATCATAGTGCGCTCAGAAAATGAATTAAATAAACAACAAGTTGTACAACACTTTTCTATTATGCTGTGTTTATTCCTTTCGGCTAGATTGCCTTTATCAGGGAAGAAGATGAATTTGGCTCCTGTTTATTGGGATGCAACTGGGTAATCACTCATTTTGTGTAACCAGATTTTCACTTAGTTCAGTGAATATGTATCACTTGTGACTCTGTAAGTCTGCACCTCGCATCATGTTGACCGCTTAAGAACAATGGTCAACAATAATGTGAAATATATGCAATTTGTAATTTGTGCTAAGACACGTCATTTGACACATCTACAACAATTATTTGAATTGCAAATGTGGCAGAAATAATAACCCATCAAGACAACGCATCACCCATAAGTGAAACAATGTTTAACAATCAAAGACTCACCTCATAGAGGGCAAATGTCTCATGACCACATCCAAAGCTTGGATGGTCTCAAAAGGGACGCTGGGTAGCCGTCCTGATAGTGCCTCGTGCAGAGCTTGCAGACTAACGCAGGACACCCACTTGATGGATACTTTGAAGCTGCGGTCCTTGCCTTCACCAGGAATGGTCACCTCAAGCTCCACCTGTGTGGAAGACAGGCAAGAAAATAAAAAGACAGAGGCAATGCTGTGATATTTCCAGACTAACATTTTTTAACTGATTTTTATGCATTTTGTCCCAAAGTGGAGATTTCATTGTTGCAGGTCTTCCTATAAAATACATACTTTGTCTCTGCCTATAGGCAAGGGCATGGCAGTATAGAGATTCTTCCTCCCATCATACACTGGTTTTCGATCACCAAAGATCTGTGTTTTAAAGTGCTGGACCATGTGCTCCACAATTTCACTGGAAACAAAAATGAAAAATAAATTACCACAATGCCCAGAACACACCAACCACTGATCTACCATGTGCCAGGGGCTGCTGATCAATAATACGTGTGTGCGTACCGATTGACTCTCCTGGGGCATTTCTCAGGCTTGATGTCGATGTCATAATGGTAGACCTCCAGTTTGGGGATTTCCATCTCAAAGAAGTTGGCCTGGAGCTTGATTGTCCTGCCCATGGTGCCAAAGTCTGGCCGTGAAGGTGGCTTGAACACATATTCTGGCACTGGAGAAGATGGTGGTTCTAAAATGTCGGGAGAAGTTGACGGAAAATGACAACGTGCATAATAAGTATCAGTTTACAGACAGATGACATTTCCCGAGATATTAAAGTCCCAGTAGAATATTTCTAAATCTCATAAATAAGAGGTATGTTCACATCTATAACTGAACAGTGTCACTTTGAGATGAAAAAAAGTATTGTGTGTTTTCAACTCATCACAAAAGACAATAAAAATTTGTCTAGAGTTAACTTTTTTTACATTATCAAGTTTAACAGTGTCAAAAACATTACAAACCATTAACAAAAGAATGAGTAAGGAATTTTGTAATTGGTGCATTCTATGCCAAATCAAAGAGGTAAAAATTGTTTATTTTCTTCTTCTTCTTTTTTTTTTTTTTTAAAAGGTTATATTTAGCACAGATTCTCCAAGATTATCCAACTGTACAATCATTTTGTTGCATGCAGGTTGTGGTGCTGTTGAACTGTACTGTATTATACAGAGAGGTGTTTCTGTTATTTAGGCTCACTGATAAAAATGAGGTGGTGAAAATGGTTGAAACATCTGTCCCCATAAAGCAATACATTTCAACAATACCAGTAACTGCAGCCTCCAAAATGACCATCAAGTTTAATCCACACCTCTCTAAAACTCTTTCAACAAAAACTGAACATTTTATCATCATTAATGTTGTAGTAGACTACATTAGTTAAGCTAGGTGGACCTAATAAACTGCTAACTCAGTATATGTTCCAGATGAATATCTTTTAGTGAGTAATTCCAAAACTCAAACTGTCAGTTAATAAGATATGAGTATTTTCTTAAATCAGAACCAGTCTGTTCTTCCTCATACACCCTGAAGGACTTTTTGAGGTGTCATTCCTTTTTTTTGGATTATCCTGTAGAAGATGTAATAAGCTTTCATCATAGGTCAACATGTTGAACCGAGAAGCTCCATATCTGCATCTTCAGATATTACAGTCAGACTGAAAGAGCACTCTCTCAATTCCCCTCAGTGCCTTATCTTTGTGCCCCAGCCTCTGCTTCATTCAAGCAGAATAACACCCATAAAACCTAATAATATATGGTAGGTATTATTGAATGGCCTTTGGTGTTTATACGTCCACCGCTATTCAGAGCACAAAATGAGGTGCATTTAGAGGAAACTGACTATCCAGAATTACTGTATCTTCTTCAGAATGTCACCTATAGCACCAAATCACCTCTGTCCTATTTTCTGGATGATTTCAGTCATACAGTTAAAATGCACTATGAATGAGTAAATACTGCGATGCCTGAAGGATGTAAAAAACACTCTTTTACATCATGTTGCCATTTACACCGGTCCACTGCTATGACCAGTTTAAAGCTTTATAGCCCAAATAAGGGAAATGCTTACCAGAGCTTAATGACCCAGAGGAACGGGGTCCCTCAAGCATCTCAGCTGCTACAGAGGACAAAAATGACATGTTATGAATGCTCAAAAATCCACTCGCCTGATGTACACTGCATTTAAACATATAAAGTGGTGAAAATATACATCTGAGTCACTTAACAAAAGGACAGAAGTCTAGAATTACAGATTAACAAGTTAACATTACAATTTCTTTGTGTAGCTAGCAGCAAGAAGTGTCAAAGTACACAGTGCTACCATCGTTACTTATACATTTCTATTGCAAACACTTGTTTCATGTCAGTAAGTCTTGCTCTCTTATCACTTCCACAACGCCATCTTCCACAATCAAGGGCGACTTTTTCAAAACTCTTATCAATATGCACACAGAAGCAATCGCGCAAGCTGGCAATCTTACTGTGCTGAAGCCACCCTTTCTCCTGGGAATAGGATAATGCTACTTGTCAATTCATATTTCAGTTCTACAACAACAAAAATGCCTCTTGTAACACATAAAACAACCCCTAACACAATTACTAGATTTGAGAGGAATACAATACAGTGTTGATGTTGTCTATTCTGTTCGTTACTCAGGGCAAAAAGTCAATGATTAAGACAAAATCGAATATGAACAGCAAATGCTACAATATTCCAACATTACCTTCTTATTCAATGAAAGTCAGCTGTTTACACTGTAACTGTACTTAACCTCAGCCAAACTTCGTAGGCATACTTATCTTCAATGTCATTAAGTCCGTATTACATTAAGAGAGCCATTTAGGTTGTCAGGAAATGTATATCGTGGGCAAAAACGATGTAACGTAACCAAATTACCTCATTTAAGTTGGATACTGTTAGCTAAGCATAGCTAAGATTGGTGATTAGATTAGATAGCATGGTCGGCCGCTAAATATTGCTTTAACTCTGTGTTTGTTGTTACACTGCGAGGCACTAAAAACAACGATCTGTTTTTATAATCGTGTGGTTTGTTAAGATAATGTTCGCCAATCGATCCCGCCTCATGAAATTACTTCGGGAAGCTAACTAACAACAAGTTCGGGAAACGAGGTACCGCTGAAGCTAACTTGGCTAATAGCAGCTCGTTGTTGTTGCACGCTAGCTAAGCTTACCTCTTCTACTAATGCCTTCACCTAAGACTGGGACGAGATTGTCTCGATCAAAAGGATTTGTTGACTTTTTGTTGACTAGCTAAACGAAACGGGAGTGGGGTCAGTCTTTCAGCAACGACTTGCTGCAATGTGGCAGTAAAATGCTGCAACTAGTGAGTTCATTTTTGCTAGCTGCATCAATTAGCCGATGCTAATGTTAGCTACAGCACTTACCTCCAGCAGAGGAATACATTTTGTCGACTTTTTAAGCGTGTCGTGGACGTACAGATACTCCACTTTATTTTGGCCAAATTCCACCCAAACTCATACGTGGTCGAAAAGTATTAATATATACAAGAGCGAAGGAGGAAGCCCAGTTCGGAAATAAAGATATTTAGTAAGCCAAGTGGTAAATATTTGGAGTCTCTCATCCTCGGCACGGCCCCATCCCCCCAACACACAAAACAGGAGCAGAGAGAAAAGATAGCACAGAAAAGACCCATGCAGGGCGAGAGGGTTTCCTCCCATTTACTTCCGTCTTTGGTCACCTCCCCAAAAAGCTCGACACTTACGTAAAAGAAGAAATGACAGACACTACATGTAGCCTACAGTTTCTTGTACAAAGTTTTTACATTATAAATAAACTTTTCTGATGTGTTAAATATATAAACCTGTACGCTAGTGTTCTGATTTCAAAATGTTGCACATGAGTTAAACATTGTTGTTTCGCTTCAAAAGACACCAGTGAATTCTTCTATGCACGTGAATAAGAGGGGAACTATCTTGCTGTTTGAACTCTTTAGTGACGTCAGACGCACGCTGCGCGCTTTCAGCTTTGACCCCGATTCAAATCGGTTAACAGCAGTAACGCTAGTTTGTTCGGTTAAATATATTTAAAAATGTGTATATATTGCGCTGTATCATGTGGACAACAATACTGCTCTGGTTTAAGAAAATATGAGCCGTATACGGAGTCGGTAAAAACTTGTCAACAAGCGAGACATCACAGGAAGAAATTTGTGGAGGCGGCGAGGGAAGCATTTCCGGGGCGGCGACAAAGGTAAGCTAACACCTGGGACTAGTTGCTAGTTCAGTTGTTGTTATAAGAAAAGCACAATAATGTGTACATGAGGTAGTTTATTTTTATTTTTATTAATTTTAGTTAATGCACTGTTACTTTTCCTTTCATGAACTTAATAAAGATTTTTTAAAAATAAAATAAAATAAACAGTAATAGTGGCATATGCAAAAGTTTAGGTCAGTACTTAGCAACCCTTTGGCAGATATCACATCCTGCAAACACATTTGTATCAGCTAAGTCTTTCTGTTCTTCAGTTTTCACCCTCTCTTACTGCGAATCACTTCAAGTTCTTAGATGTTTTAGGCTGTCTTGCATGCACATATTTTCAATGATGTTCGACTCAGGCAACTGTGAGGGTCATTCCAAAAGCTTCACCTTGTGTTTCTTGAAGTAACCTACTTCATGGTGGATTTTGAGGCCTGATTTGGATCACTGTCCTGTTGTAGAGCCCAGACTCTTTTCACTTCCACTTTCTTGACTGATTGCAGGACAGAATTAGCCCAGAATTAATCCAGAATTAGTGGAATCTATTCTTTTGTCTATCTGTGCAATGTTTCCAGAGGCACTGACTGACACACAACCCCAACGAATAACATTTCCACCCCAATGCTTAACAGTTGGTAAGATGTTCTTTTCATTGATTGCTGCACTTGTTTTTGCTCCAAACACACCCTTGATGATTGCATCCAAGGGTTTAGTTTCAACTTCATCTGTCCACAGCACTTTTTTCTAAAATGACTCTGGCTTATCCAGATGTTGACTTGCAGACGTCAAACATAAACTGTTGTGCACTCCTTGACTCCTTGGTGCACGGTGGGGATTTTGCTTTGCTTTTCGGCCCAGCAGACATGAAGTTTTATCTCAAGGTTTTCTTGGTCTTACAGAGCTTGTCTTGGTTCCAATTTACATTTATTACCTGCCTTACAAGTCCTAATGCGTCAATTAAGGCCTAACAACTTTGTTTTTTATACAGTTAGAGGGGCGACCAAAGTTGTGCACATGCCACACAACTGTTTTTTTCCATCATTTTTAAGTTAATGACATAAAAAGCATGAGTGGATTAACATTTGAAGAAAGGCTCCTTTTTAGTTGACTGCAGGACATGTATTGATAATTTGTTTTGATTTTTGATTTGAAATGAAGTCAATTTACTTCCTATCACATCAGAATTTAACAAAATATTTAATTTCCTTAGGGGTGCCTAAATTTTTGCATACAACAGTATAATTCTGTGTTTTTATTTTCTAGCTATCTAGTTGTAGTTGTAATATTAGTGTATGGACTGGACAATGAAAGCTTGTGGCTTATTGCAAATGTGTAAATGTAAACTGACTGCAGCTCAGAGAGCATAGGCTGGTCTCCTGCAGTCTTATACTGTACCTTCTTTCCCTGTTCACTGTGAATATAACACTGGATAGTGGATACAGTGTATCCATAATGCAAGATACTGCCAATATGTGATGCATGATATAATGAAATACTGAATACAATGTATCCAGTATTGGTGATTTCTATCCTCACACCCGTTGCCTTAAATCCCTATGGACAGTTTGGTTTGTTCGTTTTATTTATGTTTCATTTGCTTTTGATTTAAATATTTATATTTTAACACTGAGCTCGGATTCATCATCCATTTCTCTTTGTCAAAATACAATATGTCTTTGTGGGTTTGCCCCTGGTGTCGTGAGTTTTAGTATGCAGCTCCTCAGTTTGTCCACTGGTCGGAGCTGTTCACCACTGAATGTGTGGTGGTGAGCATTGATTTTGCACAGCAGCAGGTTTTAAGATAAGATGAATCTTTTAATGACCCTAATGGGAGAGGCTGGTCAATATTGGCATTATTAAACATTACCAATCATAGACGAATTGGCACGTATTGGAAAGTTGTTTTTGTGGGAGGGTGTTGTTAGTTGCTGAATATATTAGGCTATATATGGCACATTAAATATATTGATATGCTGATAATATTTTGCATATACTTGATATGCAACATTCTGTTGGATTTAAGACTATATTTTAAGGAATGGGATGTATCGAATATTTCATCCGGTTTAGCCTTTGTGCCAATTCTAAATAACAACCAATGAGCTCAATGGTCGACCGAAGGTAATTGGGTTTTATGCTTTATTTCTCTTTGAAGTGAAATGATTGTAACATTGAACTTCATGCTAACATTTTCAGGTTATTTTGCCATAAAAGAGTAACGTTGAGTCTGCTTTAATAAAATGCATAAATAAAGAATAATGAAGACAATCGTAATAATCGGTCTTACAGGAGGCCTTGGTAATGAGGTTTTGTCCCTCTAATTCATCCTTCTGAAAATGTCGACTGGCGACACGGCCAACACTTTAATTGCTCCCATTGATTGATAGAATAAAAACACAACAATGCAGCCACATAGCCCGGGTGGTTTCCCCCCTATAAGAAAGCTGGCTGAGTGAATTGGGTGTAGCTGTGTCTGTGTGCGCCTTGGCCAATGGAACCAGATCCTCCCTGCAGTGCGTAAGAGCGCGATTTAGGATTTAACCAAGTCTTTGCTGCGAGGCTGGCTGCAGTCTTCACCAGAGCCCGACGGCCTGAGAGCCTTTCAACAATGCCAGTGTAGTTTTCACACCGCTTTGGAGTCAGACTGCCTCATTCTTTGCTAATTAAATAAAACAAACCCACGCGTTCGCTCTCGAAGTATGACTGGAGTATTCGACCGGAGGATCCCGAGTGTGAAACCCGCAGACTTCCAGAGCTCCTTTCAACTCTCCGCCATGCACCATCCGTCTCAGGAATCTCCTACTTTACCCGAGTCCACCGCCACGGATTCTGGCTACTACAGTCCCGCCGGTGGAGTCTCTCACGGCTACTGCTCGCCCAGCTCCACCTCATATGGGAAGCCTCTCAATGCTTACCAGTACCAGTACCCGGGGGTAAATGCGTCCGCTGGAAATTACTCGACAAAATCCTACACTGATTACAGCTCGTACACGACCCCCGCCTACCACCAGTATGCTGGGACTTACAGCAGAGTGCAAGCCCAGCCGAGTCCACAAGGTACGGGCCCGCAGATTTTTATTATGTTAAGAGCAGATTATTATTTTGTAATCGTGTAAGGTACCTTGTTAAATTAAAAAAAACGTATAGTGTAAATTTTATCCAATTTCATAATTTATCAGTTTTTTACTGAGTCTTCTTCTGCATAAAAAATCCAGTAATGTGGAATCTGACGCTAAAGGAATAAATAAGGACTTTATTGTTATTTGAAACTATGTGATTTAAGGTGATTTTAAACTTGTATACAGAATACATGTGTTTTGCTTTTTTTGCCGGTCTGGAATGAATTTGTTTCATGAAAATGGATTTACTTGGGTTTTAAGGGATATAGATGACCACCTACAAAAAAGATCTTTAAAAGACACTGTAATTTATAATGGGAGCACATACTTATTCTTGTTCTGATTATTTTTGGCAGAAAAAGAGATAAGTGAGCCTGAGGTGAGGATGGTGAACGGCAAGCCGAAGAAAGTGAGAAAGCCCCGGACAATCTACTCCAGCTTCCAGCTGGCCGCCCTGCAGAGGCGGTTTCAGAACACACAGTACCTGGCGCTGCCGGAGAGAGCCGAGCTGGCTGCCTCGCTGGGACTCACGCAAACACAGGTGGGATTTTAGATAGAATTCATTTCCTAATCTGGTTTATCTTTAAAATGCAGGAAACATCGCGTTTAAAATGGTTTAAATGCTTTCTAAACATCCATTTTGGCGAGCATTGGTTTTTGTGCGTCTTTACGCAGCATGCGTCTTTGTTTTTGTTTTGTTTTTTCCTATTGTTTTCGAGTTTGTATATGAGACATTGATAGTCGTGTTTTTTCTTTTCCAGGTCAAAATTTGGTTCCAGAACAGGAGATCAAAAATGAAGAAAATCATGAAAAACGGCGAGCTTCCACCGGAGCACAGCCCCAGCTCCAGCGACCCCATGGCGTGCAACTCTCCACAGTCCCCGGCCGTCTGGGACACACAGGGCCCCTCCAGGCCGCACAGCCTACAGCCACAAAACATCAACACGACGGCTACTAACTTTTTGGAAAACTCGGGGTCATGGTACACCGGCAGCTCCATGACTTCCCACCTGCAGACCCCTAACTCGATACAGCACTCATTGGCTCTTGGAGCGGGGACGTTATATTGAAAAACCCTGTTGTTCATTTCAAACTTTTTTTTCTCCTTCTATGGGACTCGTGTTCAAATTTCAGAGGAATATGCAATGTATTTGATGACAGTCATAGAAGAAAACGTGTAAAATGTGTAAATGTGTGCATGTAATTTATTGCATTTTGGAAGAATATTAAACGTTTAAATGGACAATGGAACTTTGAAACTTCCGGCCTCAGTACAGTCTCTTGTCATTTTAACCCTGTTATTTACACTGAAAATCACGACTCAGACTCACAGACATAAATAACGTTTGTGAATCTCAGGTGACATTTTCAACACAAGGTTGTAAATCACAGCTGCTCAGTGATGACGTGAACTATCTATAGAAAATGTAAATCTAATCTTGGTGGTTTTCATTTGCAATAACAGCCACGATCTCTATTTATTCTGTGATTTTTATTTTTTATTTTTTTTATTAAAGACTTTGTTATTTTAAATCTGCAGATGTTACGCAGACAAACTTAATAGGCCTATTTGTCTTGGGAGATGGGAATGAAAAATATCTTCATGAGCAGACTCAGTTTAATTTACATTTAAATAGTAATGGAGGAAAAGAATAAGAATTTTAGTGCAAACAGACATTAAGCAAAAGAAAATGTTATTGTAAATACAATTCTGAGAAAACATGGCTACTATCACGGTAAGCCTATCATAATAATGACACTTGCTTTAATTGAATTTCGGTGCTCCTTAATTGAACTGTATTGATTTGTGATATAATATTACTATTGTGATATCTTCATTATATCGTTATAGAGACTATTACTGTTTTTGTGAAAGTCAGTAGAGGAACCTTTTCTTGATTTTTTTTTTCTTTTTTTTTTTCTTTTTTTTTTAAATACGATCACATTTTTGGTAATATCATAGGAGTTGAATGATATTATTATAACAATTCATATTTTAAATTAACTCAAATTGTAATTAAAATCCCCCAGTATTTTGCAACCTATTTACTCTGATATTTACCAGTTTGAAATCCTTAAATAATAGGGAATGGCAATAACTATTATTATTGTTGTATTCTCTATTGCCTCTGGTCACCTTTTTATCATTCATATTGTATTTTAGTGGAGAACCTGACTGAGCCTCTCGGTTGCTTCCAGCTGGTCTGGAAAGAAAATGCCTGCGTCTTGCTTCTTGCTTCTTGCAGCAGACAGTCTGCAGTCGCTCTCGCTTTGTGTCCCCTACAATTAGCTGCTTTGAATGGCAGAGAGGAGGCGAGGGGGGCGGCACGGAGATCTGAGACAATCCGCATTCCTGTGGGGGTAGACCGGCTCCAGAGCTCTGCCAGTCCCGGCCGCAGCCCACCTTCCGGGTAAAATAAAAAAAAGAAGAAGAAGAGAAGAAAGAAAGAGAAAGAAAATCCTCCACAGTTTCACCATGTTATTAGCAGGCAGTAATACCAGCGATGCCGCTGCAAACCGCTGAACAAACCGCGCCACTGTGAGAAACATTGGGGGTTTGAAAATTGATCTAATTGAATTTGCCCGGCCATATGCACAAAAATCATATAAGTGAGTTTTTACAAACGAACATGTTGCACTCCCCCCCCCCCCTCCCCCCCGGGTGCCTCCCCCTGTTTCATACATATACACACAAACATACACACACACTAACACACTAAACAATACTGCATCTGACCCACACACTGACCCATGCATGTTACCATTTCCACCTGACACAGAATCCTCTTCCTTTCCTGATTGCAGCCTACTGAATACACTTTACACACACACACACACACACACTGGAGCAAAACACTATAAAAAATGGTCTTCTTGATCTAAAACTCAACACTGCTTGTTGTTGTTTTCAGTCTAATTTCTGCTGGAGACTGAACGTAATTACAATGCGAGCAGGTCATTTGAGAAATTTAGATTTTCACATTGCACGTGCACGCACCCAAGGCGCGGGCACAGTTGCACACATAGACCTCTATATCTCTTTCATACACACACACACCACTACTGTATGTCTCTATCCATCCATCTCTCTCCCTCTCTCTCTCTCTCTCTCTCTCTCTCACACACACACACACACACACGCACTCTCTCTCTCTCTCTCTCTCTCTCACTCACTCACACACACACACACACACACACACACACACACTAGTGGTGCCATTATATCGAGAGCCCCCGTTTATTTCCAACCGAACATTTTCCACTCAGCTAGTTTCCCCCCGTTTTGCAAATCGAGTCTAAATAATGACAGTTAGCTTTACTGGACAGCTTCAACTGTAACACTCCACAATAATTATTCTCCAGGATTAGAGCCTCCATTATCATAATCTGGACATTGACAATTACCTATAATTTGCAAAGATGCGCTTGGTTCTTGATTGCAGAGGGCTTTTTTTTCAAGCTCGCCATCACTAAACAGTGACAGTAATAACAGCTAATTTTGCAGGCAATATATAAGAGCTTACCGGGGTGTGCAAACACTTTCCCACCTGGATTTGCTTATTCAACCACCAGCAGTAAAACCGTGCAGCGCTTTTTTGGTTAGTCTGTGTTAGAGAAGCAGAGCAAGGTAAGGATGAGTCTTATATCTTCTGTCCTGTGACTGTTCCTGGTCTTAGAGGAGGCTGCGACACTCTTGACTGAAAAATAGTCTTCACTAAGTTCTGAGCTTAAGTCAGGGCTGTCAACAGAGAAGTGGAAACATTCTTGCGTTTCCCTAACATCTGATTTCTTTTTTTATTTGTTGGAGAGAATAATGGATGTCTTTACGAGATTTGTTCCGGTTGATGTTTTGGTAATGTGTGAAATCTTGTCAGGTGCTACGGGAGCTTTTTATGTGAGAAGTCTGCTGTAGTGAATCAGCTATAGTGACACATCCCTCCCTCCCTGCATCCCCCCACCCCCATATCTGTCTCTGTCACCCTGTTGCACTTTATCACCATTACATCTATCTATCTATCTATCTATCTATCTATCTATCTATCTATCTATCTATCTATCTATCTATCTATCTATCTATCTATCTATCTATCTATCTATCTATCTATCTCAAACTCATCAGATTTTGCTCATTTTCCATTTGCACAACCTCATGAAACCCGTCAGCTTCTGGAGCTGAATGTGTACAGCATGTGCATTTATGAGCTCTGCTGATGTTTGCTCGACCTGCTGCTGTCGGGCTCCCTGCAGCCCGCAGATCAGGGTGCACATGGCCCAGGAGCAGATAGGCCCCCAGCCTTGGGGGCCCAGGTAGGGCTGAATGCGCCCCAGTGGGACATCCGCGACTTGACAGCTGCATGGAGCTTTTCAGCGTTGTAATTTCAGATAATATCCCGAGCGCTCACTCTCCTCAGCAATTTGTATATGAATAACCGAATAATTTTCCCTTTTGTTCCATCTGTGCTACCTCAAATCCAAATAAAGATGCCTTTTAGTATTAAAAGTGGTAGAAAATTACAGGTAATTATCTTTGACGGTAAAAACGCTGTAATCAGCGGGCTACATCAAAAATTACCCTAATTATGCCTGCATTTATGAGAATGGAAAAAAAGCCTCACTTGGATAAAAACCCACAAATTGTCCCAAATATCTCCTTCATATTGAACGCCACTGCAGCTGGCTGCTTTGTTCAACATCGATCCCGTGGAGCTTGGCATTTAACGCCCTGCATTAGGACGGAGAGACGGGAGAAAACATTTTGTCAATACTTCTAATAATTGAGGGTGAAATGACAAGATAAGCTGGACCTGGAGCAAATGTCTTTCGAGGTGAATGTAGACAGCAGCGGTGCAGGGTAAGTTCATTTCCTCTGGTGTTGAGCGCATTTGATAAATCTATATACTACTGTGGCGTTCTCCATCAGCCACTAAGCGCTGTGGATTTATTTAAGATGTTTACTCTGGTGAAATGGGCTTTTCACTTGAGCACTGTCAGTAACTGATGTTCAGATTGTCTGTTATAAGCTTGTGCACACCAGGGAGACGGGAAATAGGCCTGTTATAATGTGATGTTGGCCCAATATGGAGCATAAAAAGGCCTCGTTTGAAATAATTTTCATATTTGGAAATCATGCAACAGCAGGCGTCTGTTTTGAGTCACGGTTTACTCAATCTGACAAAACATAAAAAGTGTATGTACAACTAAAATCGCAGATTATATTTACAGACAGACAATTTGCTTGGTTTTGCATGTTGAAGAAACAACCAAAAAAAAAAAAGCAGTCAGGAGTCAACCATGGCGACAGGTTCTGGGCGCCACAGCCCACGGAGAGTGTAAGCAGTCTTTGCCCAAAGTGGCTAAAATGTCACTGATAATATTTGGTATATTGACGTTCAGATGTTGACATGAATGAAAGCATAACAGAGATGCGAGCCCACTGAACAGCCATGTACGCTGACAAAAATGGTTAGTTCCCTTGTTGGTGTCATCACGCCGAGGCATGGCTGCGTGTTATCCTTCAGCAGAGAGGTATCGGAAGGGTTTTATGTTTTTTTTTACCTCCTCTCCAGCATCCAGTCTCTGCGCTGACACAAATTGTAGGCTACGTTGGAAACTGCATGGCGGAGATCCGGAGGCCTCCAGACAGCTCACTGACCCTTTTCCTGCCTCATCAGTCTATCTCTGCATTGAATCTTGATGTGGGGAGGAATACCAGTGAGAGTAGCCGGGCATGTAGCTGTTCGCCGGCATGTTTACTCCTTTGGAAGAGGCCGAGACGTCCCATATTGGAGGGATGGTCGGGGAGCGCGGGGATAGGGACATGGAGCCCGGTATAGGGTCGCTCTCGTGCGGGTTGCTGCCTTGCTTGAGCAGCTTCTTGAACTTTGACCTCTTATTCTGGAACCAAATCTTTACCTGTACGGGAGAGGAGAGGGGTGCATGCAGTTAGACACATGCATAATGAGCCTGCATGTAGATGTAGAAAATTGAAGTAGGCTATTAAATCTTTAATACTAGAAATACATTATTATTATAATAATGTTAATAATAATATTTAAAACTGCATTATAATTGATAGAAGAATATAGATGATAAATTCCAGGAAGTGGTGTGAAACTGTAAAGCAGTGCATATTCCTTGCATACCTGGGTTTGTGTCAGTCCTAGAGAGGCAGCCAGCTCGGCGCGCTCCGGTAAAGCGAGGTACTGTGTTTGCTGGAAACGGTGGTTCAGTGCTTGAAGCTGCAAACTGGAATAAATTGTCCGAGGTTTGCGAATCTTTTTGCCTTTCCCATTAAAACGAATTTCCCCATTTTCAATCACCGTCGTTTTCTGCTGCTCTGCAACAAAAACAAGCAATGTTATTATTCAAAACCACAACAGCGAGATTGTGTTCATTTTTTTCTGTGTGTGTGTGTGTGTGTGTGTGTGTGTGTGTGCAAGGGAGACACCGATGTATCAAACAGCTTGAAATATCTGTGAAAGGTGAGGATAAATTCAGAGGCGCCGAATGAAAGTGTCTTAAAAATAAAAATAAAAAAGCTGATAAATGTTGACATCTGACTTTGCCTTCACGCGCCGTGGCAGCCACAATCCTCGTACGCTGTCATATTTAGGATATTGCTGGTAATGACATGTCAATTAAATGCTAATTACAACATTCAAGGCGTGCGGGCTGCCTAATTTCCACGAGTAGTTGGTGAGGATTGCACGGTCGTGATGATCACACCCCGGGCATTAAAACAGGTTTTGTGGGAACCGAGGGGAGTGCTAAACGGGACAGCAATACAGGCTACAGGCTGAGAAGGTAAAAGGCTGGATGTCGAATTATCCGGTGCCATTTACGCACGATTTTTCTTCGATGTAATCGCCCACCTACGTCTGAAAGATCATTCGTCCGAATTTGGAGTGGCCGACTTGGGCATGATACCAACACCGGCAGGAGAGACAGGTTTGATCCCCACTGTGGGCCACTCGCACTAAAAGAAGGTATGCGCTGATGGTGCTGTCATGACGCGGTGCATTTTCCACTCGGCTGGTGAAAAGGGGGTCTCTTACCTGTGCCGTCTAACCTTGTCTGTCCTCCCGTGTTGTTGTGATAGGATGGCAGGTACGGGCTGTGGTGCGGATGGCTCACGTAGGGGTAGGGTAACGACCTGTTGTAGGTGTTGGTCCCGGGGTACGGGGTGTTGTCGTGCTGGTGGTGAGCGTGTGAGCCGGAGTGGAGACAGTGCAGCGGGTAGTGGCCGCTGGCCATCGACGGGGAGCTCTGCTGTGAGTGCGACTGCTGCCCAAACTCCATGAAAGCAGACTTGGACGAGTCCTGAGCGTCCAGACCGTCAGCCATCGTAGTCATGGTCATCATCGAATTTTCTGCCTTGAGAGCACTCACCCCCCTCTCTCTCAAGACCAAATCGTTTTTCTCTCTCTCGCTGTGTTGTTGTCTCTCTCCCCTCTCTCCACCGCGAACAGATATTGTCCTATTAACACCCGAAATTTCCAGAGGCGTCTTTATTTCCCCCCTTGTCCTGTGATATTCTCACTCAAAGTGGCGGAAGGTAGGCATAAGTTAAGGGAGAGATTTTAAGGTGGATTCTGTTAAAATTGAGCCCTTGCTTCCAGACTTGATGCAGACACTACAAGTAAAATGGTTTGTCTCCAAAGGGCAGCGCCTCCCGATTGGTCATCCAACCCAACGTCATCAGTGCTTTGCGCTTCACGGAGACTTGAGCTGGAGTTAACCCACCTTACCAGCTCCCACCACAACTATGGGGGAAATAATATATGGTGGGAAAGACGCCTAATTCCTACAGACAAGCTTCACACGTAAAACCAGCTCTTTTGGAATTGCCGAGTCGATTTTGTTTTGTACCCAAACCCCCAAATTACGCACGACGCGCAACATATAGTGCGCACTTTGATTTAGCCTGATGAGCCAGCAGTGTATATGTCCCTCTTTTTCTCCTCAGCTTTTAACTCCTCCTTTCCTCTGGAATTAATTACATATAGGCTAGGAAAGCATCACACAAACACCCTATTTAAGAATATTAATATCCTATTTAATATTAAATTGATTTCTAAAACAAATACCACCAAATTATTTACAAATTAGCCCCTTTCTACAAAAAGAATCATCTTTACAAGTCGTCTATCGTTGTTTAGGAAGATTAAATATTTTTTCTACAAATGCATAAACATTTACGAATGCTTGTGGAATAATCCCATCCGTATTAAATGTACATTGAAAGACTTTTCTACATTTAGTGGCACTATAAGTATTTACACTAGTGGTGTGATCTGTTTTATGTCAAGGAAACTCCTGAAACAGGTGGCATTGCTTTGGAAATAAGAGAAAATAGGCCCCTAACTCTACAGATTTTTATGTGGAGAAGAGAACTTTTGCATTTATTTTGTACAAAGATTTAAATAACAATTTTTTTTGCAGTGTAGTATTTGCTTTGTTGGCGCCTAATGAGCAGTCCCTCTTCAAGCCCCCCTCTGCTCTGAAAGTAATATATATTATAACTGTTTTTTTCTGGGGCTACTGACCATATGATTAAGGATCCTCAGACAATTCAAAATACAGTACATGTGACACATCAAATAACAATATGCCTGAGGTACAATAGGTTATTTTGCAGAAAGAAGGGTGGATACCGAGATAAACTGACAGTGTCTTTTATCCCTGTTGTAATATGAGGCCTGATAGGGTCCTCAATATATGTAAATTATACAGTTTGCCTCTGAGGGCTGCGATCTTCGATTTGCAAATAAGAATAAAATCTTATTTCCGCTTATAACCACTAATGCAATAGGTATTCAAATCATGTTTTGCACCACTTTCAACACATTTTTTGCCGCAATGTAGCATTCAGTGATTTCACACAAAAAAAGGCGATGAAAAATAATTATGGTTGCAATCAAGTTACTACGAAAACCTATTTGATTAGCGGCCACACTTTACTCAAATTGCAGCTATAAAATTAAGAACAATTCGCCTGTAATGATTATGGACTGGATTTATTTTGGGAGGGTGGAATAAAAGTGGATATAGCATAAATTATCCCCTAATTATACGCCAGTGTCGCCTCAATTATCCTCTTATCAAAAATGGTTGTCTAAATGCAGCGTTTAGTTTCAATTTTCTCCTTTTCTGTAACAAGAACTTGGTACCTTGCTATTATCGTCAGCTACGGTTGTTATTTACTTTGTGGGATTTAAAAAGTGCACAACCCAGCCGGATAATCATTTTACAGCAGCGGACCAAGAGAGGAGCACAGACGCTGGGATGTGAGCCGCAAGACACCCAGACGGATTTGTTGTATTCTTCCAGACTCTCTTAGATTAATCCATTTTTAAGAAAAACCAGAGCACTTCTGTTTCTTCAGGAGGGGGTTCAGGTAAGAGCTTCTTTTGAATCCTCTTTTCTGCTCACTGACATTGTGAAATGATTTTTATGGCCTCTGATAAGTCTGTATATTAGGCGCACAGTGGCCTCGGAGACCTCAGCACACCTTGGTCACCCCTCAGTGATTTAACATAGTGGCCAATTCCCCCTGTCCGTGTTCCACTTGGACACGCAGAAGAGAAACCAGATCCCTACACCTTTTCTAATCGCCTTTGAGTGCTACTACAAAGACATGCATGCTTTGCAGCGATGCTATAGCTGCGTCCCCCCCTCGGGCTGAAACCTCTGGGCTCGATTGAATGAGACATCTTCATTCTTCAGGTTTTGCAGCATCATGTGCGCGCGCGCGTGTGTGTGTGTGTGTGTGTGCCACCGCAGGATTATTAAATTGCGGGATGGCTGCGCGGGTAATGTCACAGGCTTGGTGTCCCGCAGGCGAGTTGGGAGGCTTTTCTAGGCACAATGAGATTAAGTGAAGTGGTGAAAGGACGGATTTGTTTGAACAGAGAGAAAGTGACATACTCGACCTTGCTGCTTTGGAAATGTTTAAGATGTGGCCTATTGCATGCATGCTGACAACCTTGTATAATTGCAAGACACATTAAGCAACAGGGGCCTATATCGGATGTTATCAGGGGACAGAATTTAGAAAATATCATTTTGTTTTTTTTAAAAAGCAAAAACATCAATTTGCATTTGTGCAAAATGTTTTAGAAAATGAGACATTAAACCTTTAGCGCACGTGTCACCTGCTGTGGTTTGGCTCCTGTTGTACTTTGCCCCATTGATCTTGGATTATAGGAGTTCATAGCCTTATTCTGGAGTGAAATTATTTTATATTTCAGTTCGTGGAAATGTCAGTCACAAAATGAACACCGTTCAGCTGCAAATCTAGAAATCACTTTGTCCCTAAGTAGATGATTGACCTTCAGCACAATCAATGGCCGTGGTGGTTTAACAGAAGTGGTCTTTATTTCCAGCTGTCTTATAAACGCTGATGAATGACTCTCTAAAATCACTCCAATACCCAACCGCTGCGGATGTATCAGACCTGGGATTTCCCTGACATCTATTGTCTGGGATGGGGTGCATGAAAACTGAGAATGTTTTACACTACGGCAACCTGGCGTTATTTTATAATTAACACGGTCAGTAGCAGTTTATATGTCTTTAAAGCACCTCCAAGTGAATTGGAAATATCTGTACACACATGGATAGACGGTAGATTTACGCACACATTCTCAGGAGGCCAGTTTAAAAAAATATAACTAGTTCCCTCTCTCCTCCTCTCTCTGAATGTGTGTCACTGGCTATTTTAACACCGCGCGTCTCTTCTTGTCTATCTGGCCACATGTGTTAATCATCCCTGAGCGTTAACACGAAGTTCCAGCAAGGCACACATCATAATTGTAGCGAGAGGCTGTGGCGTTTGCGGTCGGTCCCTCTAACAGCTATTGACTGGCTCGCATGGAAAGCCACCTCCTTGGCTCCTCTAGGGACCCGGTCGGTTGGGGACGCTGAGGCTTGTCACTGCAGACAGAGACCGGGAGGCACTTAAACAACATGTCTCCCTTCTCCACAGCGCAAAAGCCACTGGCGCGTCACAGACAGCCAGGCGTCAACGATTCTCCATCTCTGCCGTGCGAGGGGCGGGAAGTGGCGAAGGGAAGCGCAGATGCATACCACACAGCTGTCAGTGTAACACGGTTCACTGTAACTGGATTCAGAGGGAGCAACCCCCCGCCCCCCTCACACACACACACACACACACACTCACACACACACACACACACACACACCCACACACACACACACACACACACACACACACACACCAACATCAGCCCAAAATGATTACCGATCAGCCTCTAATGCTCCAGTAGAATGTATCTGTGCCCAAATGGTGGCGCGCCGCTTTTACGCACATAAATTGCGCACATCGCACTAATGCAAACCCACTTATGCGAAGCTTTGATGTGTTTTGTAAAAGCCTGCAACTACACCAAGAAAAATTAGTGTGGTTTTTTTCAGAAAGAAAACCATGCGCTCCCAGGCAGGCGACTGTTTACAATAAGTTTTGCATCATAAATTAGGATTGCATTATCTCTCGAGTAAATAGCAAAATTGGCATATGCATGGCCCCAGGTGCAGGGCCTTCAGATAGACCCGGTGTAGCTTGTTGGTAGTGGAGCTAAATGACCACAAATAAGCAAAGGCCTGCACCACTGAGCCTTCACAGCCTCTCAAAGACTAATGGATTTAATTTGGCACGGCTGAAGCTGCACTGGTCGCACTCAGGGCCTGTGTCCCTAATTAAGACTGCTTGTTTCTCTTGTCGCCTTCTCTCTCTACATGTTTAGGTCCACCTGAGTGATTGCATCGCTCGGTTTCCTGCAGTAGCCATGTGGTTTTTATATTTCATCATTTATCTCTGAAATGAAAAGGGGAAACGAAGGGCAGTAATCGTTGAATTTAGTCATTTGGTGAAGTGTAACAGTAGAATATGCATGAAATCCTCCTCAGCAAAATGGCACGGGAATGGGCGCACTCTCCTTGGGTTTTATTATCAATATTGTTAAGACAATGAAGGGAGGACATATTTAGAGAAGGAGATATTTTGTTGGTTATGCTCATATAGGCTACGACCTAGCAAACACAAGTCCGTCTATGATTCTGCATGCTAGGTCAATAAAAAAAAGGAGCTATATCCAAAAAGTTGATGTGAACTTTATGTTAGTGACTAGTGAGTACCAGGGCGAGCATTGGTCCCCCACTTTTTTTTTCTCTCTCGACTTAATACGCGACATTATTAGGTCTGACAGCACAGTGGTCGGTCTTGAAGGAGAGGATTTGGTCGCTAGATGACAGACAGGAAGGCCAGCAATCATGGGCTCTTTTTTTATCAGAATGTACTGTTCGATGCCGTTTATCCCTGATGATAGAAAATTGCTCTGTTG